AGGTAAGTACATCTGATAACTTTACCTAATGAGTCAATCCAAATGAAAACACCAAAAATGAATTTAAAAGTGCGCTGCATGATTTTTTATTTTAATGAAAAAATTTAAGGATGATCGTTTAGGTATTATATATGAAAAACCGTTGCCGTTTTAATTTTTAGTTGCTTTATTTTTAATCGGCACCCTTTAGAAATCTTCCTCTATTATAAGAGGCTAAAACTTCTTTTCTGCGGCAATTATTCAAATGATTGTAATTTTATTTTACTGCCTAGTAAGTATGTTTTCAATATTATTTATTATTATCTAATTAGTTCATCTCATAAAAGAATGGTAAACCACTAAAGATTTGTAATAATTTGCCAATTTTTGTGATTTTTGTCTGGCTTCTGTGCCTATTCTGCTAAATCTAGAAAGTTGCTTTTTTCAGGTATCAAGTACTTATACAATAGAAAACGTAACTATTATTTTAGGTTTCTAGACTATCATTTTCTTTATTAAAAAAATTATTGAAACTTGATAATTTTCAAAATTAGCCAATTTTGCCCTCAGAAATCATTATGTTGAGGAAAAAATAAAAATCTGAAACTTTCAGGAAATGTAGTCCTCACCTTCATCTTTTTAGTCAAGTTAGTCTTGTTTTGTTATTTTTATCCATGTAAAAGATATAATAATTTTTTTAATGCAGTTAATAAGCGATATTGTTAGTTTTATTTATAATTTAAAATTTAGATGGCTTTCATCATTATATATAATACATAATATAAGGGTATTTTACCGATGAGTGGAGGCTTTAAAGAATTCTTAATCAACGCTTTTAATAATGCATTTGCTGTTTAAATTTAGACGACTTATTTGTTTGACGATTTTTACTGAATTGAAATGTTTGCACTTTTCACGTTAATCACTAGTAAAATGTGTATTTATTGTATCTAATAGGTACAATTTATATTTACAGAGACTATATGCAATTTATTTCTTCATTCAGATTAACACTGTTTATTGGAAATCCGGTAAAAACTCAACCCAGGATTTCCTATCGAAAATACACCCAACAACACAACAAATCGATCCACGTTTTTTTTGTTGATATTTTTAACATTTTCCGGCTTTATTCTCAAAAACACTCGTTTGTAACCTAAGCGTTTGACAGCTGATTATTAAAAGTTCTACTTTTGTTACGATGATAACAGCCGAGTGGTGGCGCTACTAGCGATACTTCTTTAGCGTATTTTCTAAGCCAGTATAAAAAACATTCATCAAAAATTTATAAATCATCATTACAATGCAGAATTACTATTTGGGACATATCTTTAGCTAAAAACGGTCAACCAGCCAACCTCTTAATGCCAAATCAGTTGGGTGCAATGGGCTCGAATATTAAAATAAAGTGTTTTTTGGACAAAAATAGGAATGCAACATTTACCTTTTCGCCAAGAACGAATTGTCATAAAAAAATATTGTGATTTACGTGTTAAGCAAGTCAAAATACATTAGAAAAAAATAGTGGCACCGAATGTACATTTCTTTTGTATTAATAACCAGTGTTATTGAAACGTGGCAATCGGTTTGTATAGGTACTTTTATATACATAAATAAATAATCTTAAAACAAAATTTGATCTGTTTGGCCAAAATGGTCCTGTTTAAAAATGCTTCTTATGTATGTATAAGTTATATTTATTGAACCCTAAAATATAAAACCAATAATAAAAACCAATTCTGTTTTTAAGTATATTATAAAAAATCACATTGCTTATGAGTAGTTCAAAGAATTGCAAACACACCGCAGGAGTTCGATAAAATGTATTCAGATTAAACTGTCAATTACATTTTCGACTGTATTTCCCAGCAGGAACTTATCACACAGTCATAGGTATTTCTTGCGCATTCTTAGTAAAATACTATTTTATTTTTACAAACGTACATACATTATATACCTCTATTGAAATAAAAAAAGTTCTGCTGTTTTTTTTAAAGAAAATCTTAAGGGGCAAAAAAATAACAAAATAACAAATACATTTGATTTTCTTTATCGCTGCGAAATGTTCCAGAACATAAAAAATAAAACACTTTTGTTTTGCATTTTAAATGAGGGATATTGGTCCATATTTGGTCACTTTTCCTAGCAAATGTTTTAAATAAATTTAAAAATAAAATAATTTAACAAAGCTGCACGTTTTATAAAAGCTTAAAGTATTTTGTTTATGTTAAAGTTAACAAAACAAGTACATTTTCTGGTTGAATTTAAATTCACATAGCAAAACTATGTATATTAAAGCCAGGAAGAAATTCATAAATTACGTTTCTCTAAACTAATTATATTTTATTAGGGCATACAAAAGCTGTAGTTTGTAACAGAAAGTTTTAAATAAATTTTGAATATTCATTGGCAAAGCTGTTCGCAAAATTGTCACGTTTTGAGTGAGATTAATTTTAACCGAGTCGAAGAAAGATTTTATTGTTCACAATTTAATTTCTTAGAATGCTCGAACAATAAACACAAATTTAATGAATATTTATGACGACTAAGAAAGTTAATTTGACAATACAAATTCCGAATGGGTTTTTTACTGCCAACTTTCAACATTTTAAGTTGAGAACAAAAAGGTGTTTCACGTCAACTTTTTTGTTTTTCCAATAGAGTGTCCTACAGAACGTTTTAAAAAACTTTTTAAATAAAAATAAAAATAAAATTGTCTATAGGTTTTAGTGTAAAACCTTTGAGTTTTTAAAATATCAGAATATTCATGAATGTTCTGAAATATGCATATAATAAATTACTAGTTGTACATATATTTATGACTGTGTAGTTTCCAACACACTGGATTATCATGCAAATTTATCTGGATTAAGGTATTGTTTAGAGAAGTTTGATTAAATGGATCAGGGGTATTTGCGTTTGAATCATACTAGCGATAAGGTTTTTATTAAATATATATATTTATAAATAACAAGAAAATCCACTATGTAATAAAATTCAAAGACTGTTGCATTAAAATATAAATAGAATTTGTTGTTACTTACTTACTTATTTGCTATATCGGTCGATACCGATACCAATAGCTATATCGGCCAATATATCGAGTAACGGTATCGTTACATCGTTAATTCTGCAAAAACAATACGTTTTCCCTATTATCATAAAAAACGCATTTAAACGGGTGCAATAATTAATAGTCAATGTGATGTCAAATATCTTACATATTATTATACATATTAAATGTTCAAAATGTGAGGATTTCCATTACTCCAGTACGTACAATTTTTCATATTAACCTGTCCATTTAGGGAAAACGTGCATTCGTCGCTAAAATAAATATTTTTAATGAATGTAGGATCTTCATTTATTCTCGCCGTCTTAATTTCACACAACTCGATTCTGCGATCTGGATAATTATCACGTAACGTTTGTTAAGTCTTCATTTTATAAGGGTGTTTAATACTCTCCAAACAGAATCGATTCGAAATCGAATTTATATTAATAGTACTATTAGTTTAATTTTATTTCAATGCTTTTTCATGGATAACTTGACAGAATAAATTGTTGTAGTTATTATTTAATTTAAACACATTTTCCCGGCTTTGCACTTGAATCTGTTCTCGTGAAGGAATAGTGAAAAACAAATCCGATCTCGCTAATTTACCAGAACCGGCGGTTTACAGAATCGGCGGCTGAAAACCATTATTTTTGAATCTTTCATCCCGTGCAGGCCATGACCTCTGAGTAAAGAGAAATGAAACCATCATCACTTGTCGACATCATTTCGTGCTGGTGTACGAATCAATGTGGCGAACGTGCGGCTGTCGAAAGGCCGAAAAATATGTTTAAACTTTAGATAGATTAACTCTAACAAAAAGATATGTTTGATCTACCAACCATGGTTTCTCTAACAAGATACAGTGAATCTAAAAAAGGTCTACCACACGAAACTTCCACTAAAAATAATTACAGTGAAACGATCATAAATATAGAAGAAATAAAAATATTTTGACGTGGATTACTTTCTTAAAATGAATTAGTCACAAATAACTAATTACACTGTTCAAAATTTCATGACCATTTTAACACCAAATTAACACCATACATGGTCTATAGGTATCGATACAAACCAAAATGGTTTTAAATATGGTTCGTTGGTCCATTGTAAATTCATATACTAAAATGGTGTAAACTTAACTTTCACACAGTAATAAAATAAATTTTACCTGGTGTAAATTGAACTCCTTTTCAGTGTTAAATATAATGCGTTTTTGGTCAAATTAAATCATACTGCACAGAAAAAAACGAAACAGGAAGTTCCTTGACGCATTACAAGTATATTACCAGTGGTATTATTCCAGAAAATTGAACCTTCAACTCGCTAGAGATAATGTTTTTAGTGCGTTCCACCAACTTAAAATACTTCAAGTATTGACAGCTGTTTTCACCTATTTAAGGTCTTTTTAGTATCGAACAACTTGTAGTGTCACACCAAAGCAAAGGACTACCTGAGCTTATATACTCTTCATGTAAGTCAACAGAGGCGAGATTTAAGAACATCACGTGATCCACACCGCCTTTGCCGCGATCGGTACACACTATGTAACCAGGAATGCACGGCAAATTGTTTTAATCGTTTTAACGGAGTGCTTTAGATTGAAGTAACTCTTATTTTAGAAACAACATATTTAGTAAACTGAACCATACAGCGGGTTGGTTTCACTAAAGTTTTCTGGGTTAATTTAACCAATTTAAAAAAATAAAATAACTATCTGGTTTAGTACCGTCAAACTAATCTTTGTTTATATTAATCTTCCCATAGTTTATTTAAATAAATACAATAAATAATTCATATTTTTGTACCTATAAGATTAATAAAGTTGTTTAATTGATGTATTAAAGCATTTTGCTTTATTTAACTTAATGATCCTTAAAAGTTTCCATGGTAACTTTTTGGTATTGAGTACGAAAATTACTCATTTTAAAGGTGTAAACAATGATACTTAAATTTTAACATTTACCTGATACTGGGTACAATTAAAACAGTGCCAGCAGCAACTCTCGCCTTCCACGTATTTTTTCGCCTGGCCAAGATCGCAAGGCAGACTGCAAACGGACTCCGGTGGTTTCGGGTGACCCAATTTGAACTGAATTTCTGAAAAAGAACAGTACTTAAGCTTTAGTGTTGCTTTATTGTTTCTGTTTATTTTGCTTATGACCTATTATGTGGTATTATTTTTTTTATGAAAATAGAAAAATAGGTCCGCTAACTAATTTTTTAAGCTTGTGAATCGTCCACTGTTATAAAAATCAGATTTGTTAACATGAGTTTGTAGTTTAATTTTATTTTGTAATATTTTAACATAATTTTTTGTAGAAAACAAGGGTTTGTAATTATTTTAACAAAGTAAAAGTTTTGTAAGCATTTTGTTAATTTTAAAGGTTACAGATTATTTTGTTAATGCTTAACAAATTATTTCGTTAAAAAGTACGTTATTTCAGGCATTCAATCAAAACATTTCCCATTTAGAATAGGCATTAACAAGTTTAACACTGTATGGTTCGTAACACAAACGAAATTATGATTCCTCGTCCTTATATAGGTTTTGGAATCATTCACTGCGGTGAGACGAAAGTAAGTGGTGCCATCTACCGTCTTTTGACATGTTCTTTATGTTATATGTTTAAGACAATAGATGGCACCACTTACTTTCGCCTCACCGCAGTAAATGATTTCAAAACCTTTGCCATCTATTGTCTTAAACATATAACAAAAGACGGTAGATGGCACCACTTACTTTCGTCTCACCGCAGTGAATGATTCCAAAACCTATATAAGGACGAGAAATCATAATTTCGTTTGTGTTCCGCACCTTACAGCAACTCGGTACTGATGTTCCAATAAAGGGAAACAGCTGTTTATCGATACTGCTGAGGAACACGAACGAAATTAAAGAAAAGCGGAGACGAAATAAATACATCAGTAATTGTTGTAGTAGTACTGATAAATTATATTGTACCAAATGTCTTTATAATTTGATGATTTCAGAATTATGTTATTTAATTGTGTGTATGTTTTTTTGAGTTCATTTATGTAGGTTATTAATCTATGGGTATGTGTTAATTTTTTTGTGTTTAGGAAATTAATTAAAAAAGCAACATTTCTTATCAAAATTCTTTTCATTTAACTTCCGAGAGTTACAAAAAATGCTTTTTTTACTGGGTCAACAAAAAGGTTTGTAAAAATACAAAATTACAAGAATTATGGTTAAATTATTGACATAGGATTTTCTTATTAAATCTACAAAATGTTTGTTATATAATTACAAAGTACTTATTCAATTAGTTAACAGATTACAGTTGGTTGTAAACTTAACATAAAGTTATGTGGACCTGGATTAACATAAAATCTAGTTAACATTTTGATAAAATTAACAAATATTTTTTACTGTGTATAGTGTGTAATACATTAGGAAAATCATTTTTGTATTTGCCTTTACATTTTAAAAGAGCTTTTATTATATCGTAAATACATGACTGCATAATGTGTCTGCATATACGAGAATAAATGTCACATATTTGAAAGCAATAGTAAAGAAAATTTGCCATTCATCGAAAATTGTAGCCTGAATACAATTGAAAGGGGTCAAATGCCTTTGGAACCTAGTTATAAAAGTAATATATTATACATTATTAATGACATCACTTTTCAGGCATTTCTGATTAAATTAAAAACCTTTTATGAAAATTTCTTCTGGCACGCCTCACTCCTGAATTATTTTACAACGTGCTTTATTATTTTAGGAATCGTGATAACGAAAGTATGTTTTTGTGTCCGTTTCCCACACAAAAAAATATAATTATTAGGGGTATAAATTATGACATCGAGGTCGACTTTTTGTCGACAGGCGGTGTTTGAACATGAAAGATAGCCGGATTCCTGACACAAAGAAATAGGTAATTAATTTTGTATTAAAAATATTTGTTATATTTCTTTGACAATAATTATTTTATAAAATGGTAAATATAAGGGAATGGGAAAAATATTTTTTTGTCAAAAATAAAGTAAACATAAAAAAATAACTTAGTGGCATAAATCCTTCTAATAACCAGTCCCTCATAACTCGACTTGATTGTATTAAGTCTTTGAACAAAATTTGGTGTAAAGTGCGATGTTCTACAAGCAAATTTTAATTTGTTATTTTTAAATTAATTTAAAACCCTTAAAAACTACTGATTTAGTATTTTTAATAATTATTTCAGAAACAAGTAGTTTTAAAATAATGATTTATTTCTGGGATAATTTTTGCGCAATAAATCATCTGGTGGTGTCAAATAGGATAAATGATGACTAGGGATGGGATATTTAGGTACTAAAAACTGAAAAATAGGTAACTAAAAAGGTACTAAAAAAAAGCATTTTAGGTTAAAAAAACAGCATTTTAGGTAAAAAAAATCATTAAAAGTTTAAGTTTCGTTTATAATTTTGTTTAGCCGCATACCCAAACACAGAACATACCCACAATAAACTATTTCTATGCAATAAACTGTGTTTTACTGAGTGACACTCACTACACAGAAGTTCTATGACAGAACATAAGCTCACTAGTAGTGAGTAACAACAAAGAAGGTAACTGTAAAGAAAGTTACTGTTACAGTCTGTAACCATAAGAAAAAATTCTATACCGTTGAGTTGCACGCCCTGGATAAAATATTGGCGCAAATTTTAAAAAGAACAAAAAAAATAAAATAAGTAAAAATACGTAAAAATAGGTAACAAATATGTGAAAATAAACTGACAAATTAAAAAATATGTAACAAAAGTATAAAAAGGTAGTTTAAAGCAAAAACCTCCAAAAAAAGTAAAAAAGGTGAAAAAAAGTTAAAAAAATAGGCAACAAAAGTATAAAAAAGGTAGTTAAAAGCAAAAACCTCCAAAAAAGGTAAAAAAGGTGAAAACAAGTTAGGTTCATATAAAAGAAAATCTTTTAAAACACATTTTGGCATTATTGGTTTTCAAATAGTTACATCGGTTAAAAAAAGGTAAAATAACTAAAATCCCATCCCTAATGATGACCATAGGGGCTACTCGGGGAAATAATCCTCAACTATTTTCGAGGATGTTTGTTGAATTTAAGATCTTGGAATATTGTTATCCAGATAATTTTACATAAAAAAGCTGCTCTTGTTACCAAGTCATTGAGATAACAGTTTTAGAAAAAAACGCTATTAAAAATGTCTCTTAACAAAAATTCATAATTTCTAGTTATTAAACACAGTAAATGAACTACAACAATAACGCAAGTTGTGTCCAATTTTTAACAATTATTATTTTAGTATCTGCTTAAAATGACCGCCGTTCTCTTCTACAAATCTATAACGCGTTTTTGCATATACCTTGTAATGTTTTTTAAAAATCCAGGTTTATTTCTTATGGATTAACGTTATGAATTGGGACTGCACACGCCAATGATTTTAAATATCCCGAAAAACAGAAGTCTAGAGGATTTATATCTGGAGAACCAGGAGGCCACGAAATTTGCCCTCCTCGTCCTATCCATCCGGCAGCGTAAACTTAATCTAAATGTGTCCTTAAGTTGGCAGAAAAATAGGGAGGGGCGCCATCAAGCATACAAACATCGACAATCTTAAATGATAGGGCACGTCATCAAAAAGGTTTAGGAAAACGTTTTGAAGAAAATACAAGTATGTCTCTCCGTTCATTTGATTTGGTAAGACTTGAGGACCTATAAAGAAATCGCTAATTATTCCTGCCCAAACGTTGATAGATCTTTGCTGGTGCCTTGATTCAATAAAGGCATGCGGATTTCATCAGCCCATGCCTTGACTATTATGAAAATTAATATTTCCATCCCTATTGAATTAAAAGTTGGGATCTTGTTATGCTATTTTGTTCGTGTCCGTGCATTATTTCCCAAGCTGTAGTTTTTGGAACGTCCTCTTGCATATTAATTCTTGTATTGCTTGTCACAGGGTTAGCGGCAACTACTTTCAGGACTTTTTCTTCATTTCCATTGTTCGAGTTTTTATATTTCTCCCGCAATCACATTTGGTTACTTTAAAAGTGCCAGTTTTACACATTCTTTTATGTAAACTTGAACATCCGTTCACATGGGGATATATCTGGGAATGCTTAGTACAATCTTCGAGCTTCGAGCAGGGTTTATAGTTCTAAAAAGTAGGAGTAGCAGTAGCAGTAAAATGTCTGCAATGTGGTTATCTGGAGTAGGAGTAGCAGCAAGAAAAGTTAAAACTTGGCCATCTCTTATGCCAACGACCTTGGTTGCTACTAAACGCTACTCCAGTCATCCACATTGCAGCATTTATATTATTATATTGGCAACACTGGCTTTTTGCTACTGCTACTCCTACTTTTAGAACTATAAATCCGGCTTAAAGCCATTGGCCTAACCGTGAATGAAATGCATGTTGGCCATTGCTTGGCAAGTGTAATTTACCATTTTTGTTAGAAATTACAGTTTGTTCTAAATTATGTTATGACAAACGATTTGACAAATGTCACCACTGACAAAATAACGAAATTTGCGAAGCAGGCTAACTTGATGATTTTCTAATTCGCTTGATATTTTTTTTTGACTTTGTAACAACAGCACATTTTTTACATAGAATTATCTGGAGATTTGTATTCCAAGATCAAGAATTAAAAAAAAACCCACACAAAATATGAAGAATTTTTCCCCGAGTAAGCCCCTGTTTCGCATGCCTATGATCATCCTTTATCCGATTTGATATCACCAGATGATTTACTGTCTAAAAAATACCCTAGAAATAAAGCATCATCACTCACCGTTTCTAAAATAATTAATAAAAAATGATTTTTCTAAACAGTTTAAAATACCTATAGGGCCCCCAGGAGGCATTTTGGACAACTTTTCTTTTATTTGTACGTGTTCAATCGCCTCCCAAAATATATTAATGTTATTACAGGACATTTCAGTTAAAAGTAAAATATGTATACAAACAAAAATAATTATTATTGTTTTAAGCAATTTATCAACGAAAGTTTAAAAAATAATAGAAAACAATTTTTATTTTTGATTTTAAAAAATAATTTATTATTAATTAAAAGTTTTGATCATTAAAAATATAACAATAACATAAAAAATATGGGGA